CCTTTCATCCCGGCTCTCGGAACACATCAACAGGTGGGGACTGCGTAGTGAGACTTGTCTCCAAAAAAGAAAGGAATGAAGGAAGGAAAAAGAAAAGCTTCCAACATTTGAGGCACCTCCATGCTTCCGTTGGTTGCAGTATGGGAGATAGAATTGGAAAACTTAACACCAAGAAAAGTTGTAACCAATGGGCCAGCTAGAGGGCTCCCCTTGGGGGGAGGGGGGGCTTACTGGGCAAACCTGGCAACCAGAAAAGCCATGTAAAGGTACGAGGAGAGCATAGACTCTAAAAATCACCCTCTGATCTCCACACGTATGCTATGACACTCGTGTACCCACTCACACGTATCATGCACACAACAGTAATAAATACAAATCTAAAAATACATCCCTAAGGGACGACAGATGTGTGTAAAGGACGCATATTTTCTACAAAGGTTTCACAGTTTGTTTGGAGTTTTTGTAACGGAGAGGTAGATAGACCCACCCTGACTATCTCATCTGTTACCATTGGAGGACACTGTTCATGAGGCGGCCCGGGACCCAGGTTACCCAGCCTGTGTTCAGCAGGGTTGGGCATGATAAGCTCAGGAAAGCATCTGTGTCTTGAATGCTCCAGTGAGCAATGAGTGCTCTCCTGAGATGACCCCCTGCTGTTGCTAGGCGCTCAATTCTGTTTCGGGAGTAGGTGGCAACATTATGTAATGCCGAACCATATTTCAGTCCTCTTCATATATTTGGAGAAAGAATTAAATCTCCTGGAGTTCTTGTTTCAAACTATTAAGTCTTTACAATCAAATAGAAATCAAGATTGTTCGAAGTTGGCCTTAAAAAGTAACTGGTTGTGCATTTAAAGAAAAAAAAATACATTCTTGAGCATGAAAATAATGGGTTTGGGGTCTATTGTTTTTGGTTTTTATTCTTTGACTATAGACATGAGAGACATTAGGCACTCTGTCAGTGGCCAAGCGGGGGTCTCTGGGATGCATGTCTACAGTTTGCATCAGATGTGGGGAGTTCTGAACTGCTCTCAGCTACCTCCAACCCTGGAAGTGCCAAGTGAGAGACTTGATTCACACTGTTCTGGTTGTCTCTTTTAGAACAGAGCTTCTCAAAATGTAAACACAGAGATCTACTTAAAGGCCCACCTCCAGCAGCCTAGAGAACACAAGCAGAGCTGTGACTGATTGACCTTACTGAAAACAAGCAAAGATACCAGAACTTGCTGGGGTTTTTGTTTGTTTGTTTTTTAAGTCAGGGTCTCATGTATCCCAGGCTAGCTCCAGACTCCCTGTATTTCCCAGGATGACTTTAAACTCATGATTGTCCTGCCTCTACCTCCTCTGTGCTATGAGTGCTGGGATTCAAGGCATACACTGTCATACCCTGTTTATGTGGTGCCAAGAATAGAACCCAGGCTTTGTACATGCTAGACAAGCTCTCTACCCACTGAGTTACACCCAGCCCTGGTTTTTAAAAAAAAAAAAAAAAAAAAAATATCTTTAATAATGTATTAAATAAACTAATGATGTTTTTCTGTCAGCTTAATGGCTGCACATGAATCTACTGGTATTTTAATTATCATCTGTGGTCCCACAGCAGGCAATCAGCACCCAACCATTCTGGCCACAGCTTGGCGGGGCTCCCAGTCCCATGGCCATGATATGCAGGTTTAAATTAAGTCTCTATTGTTCTATTTATCAATAAGACTCAGGAGTCAAAGGCTGGGGTGAAAACCTACTAGCTCAGAGAGGTTGAGTAGCAACTAGCTGACCTTGCTTTTTGGCCCGAGATACCACAAGAGACACATCTCTTCCCTCGCCCCAGAACCCAAAGGAAACTCAAACTCTAATCCCCACCCTTTCCTTCCTCTGCATGTTCTCTATCCAAACTGCTGACCTCTCTATGGCTAATTCCGGTCAGCTGGTCACTAGCTCCGCCCCTTGATTCAAAGTAAACTTTATTGACAGTCTGGAGTGTCACAGGGCGGTCAAAATATCCCGCAACATACTAGTGATAAAAACCATTCACACAATGAGGGCTCTTATGAATCCAAGGGAAACCAAATACTACTGGCAGCATAGTCAATCAATGACCTTAGAAAAACGATGATGTTATGCAGAGAAATTACTGTTTTCAACATTTTGGTAATAATTTCCAAAAAAATCAAAATAAAAACTTTTTGGTGCAGTGATACAGCTCAGTAATAAAAGTGCTTGCCTAACATGGACTGAGCCCCTGGGCTCATTCGCCAACACTACATAAAACTGAATGTGATGATGCATGCCTGTGATCCTAGAACTCAAAAGATGGGCCAAGAGAATGCAGAGTTCAAGGCCAGCCTAGGCTACATGAGGCCCTGCCTCAAAACATAAATACTTTTTGTAAAAAAGTATTTGCGTGTGGTTGTGAGGGAGCTTTCGTGCACACATGGACCCCAGATCAGGACTTCAAGACTCTTCCTTTTTGGGTCTCTGCTTTGTTGCTTTAAGCTGAGGTCTCTCCCTGAACTGGAATTTTGCCATTTTGTCTAGACTGACTGGCCAGGGATGTCTGGATACCTACCTGTTTGTCTCGGCCGGCCTGCTGCTGCTGCCGCTGGGGTGACAGGCACCCTGCCATGCCCAGCTTTTTCTGTGGGTGCAGGAGACTCAAACTCAGGTCCTCAGGGCTGCAGGGCAAGCACTTCTGCCCTCTGGGCTGTCTGTCACCACGGCCACTTTTTTTTTAATGTCATACTACATACAGAGAGAATCAAGTTCTTGTTTACACCTCAGATCCTTGTGGACTTGGAAGTTTCTCCTTTTCTTTTGGGGAATCAGGGGAGGGGTTGTTAAGGATAGGGTGGAATGTAGCCTGTGCTAGCTTCAAGCTTACTGTGTAGCCACGGATGACCTGGAGTCACAGGCATACACCACTCCACCTAACATGCTTAGGAGTCTCTAACACTGCAAAGTTTGTGGACTGGTGCCGGGCAGGAGGGATAAAGTTAAATTACTAAGGTCCGAACTCAGTGGCACAGCTAAAAGTCCCAGAGACTTTATTTTATTTTTTTAATTGTGTGTGTGTGTGTTATGCCATGTTTATGTAGGGGCCAGAAGAGGATGTCAGATGCCCTGTACCTGGAGTTACAGGTAGTTGTGAATCAGTCAGTGTGGGCATTGGGGTCCAAAACTCAGTTCCTTTGCAGAAGCAATAAACTCTCACACAAACCACACAGGAACATGTGTACGCACATCTAACAATTAATAATAATAGCAAAGAGTAAGAGACCATGAATTTGAAAGGGAGAAGGGAAGACATGGAAGATGTTACAGGGTTTGGGGGGAAATGGTGTAATTATATTTTAAGTACATAAATAGTAAATAAATAAATGACCCAGAGGCTGAGAGCCAGTGCTTCTGAAGAGATTGCAACCATGGGGTATCCTTAGGTAAGGCAGAGATTGTTAAGTATATCTCAAAAACATTAAAAATTGTAAAATTTACAAAATAAAGCATCCAAAATGAATGCCTAATAGGCCAGGGGATAGAGCCCAGTCGTAG